AACTGGGTCTGGGAATCAATCATTATCATTATGGCAGAACAGGACACCATCATCCCTTGGTGATGGGGAAGAGTATCCCACTTTCAAAACAGGTGATACAAATGAACAGGAATGGCTTGGGACAGTGTGTGGGCAGGAAAAAGGCAGCTAGTTCTGAGGGGTGAGAACAATTCCCAGGAGAAGAAACTTTGTGAGGAAGCCCCCCAGAAGTCACTGGATCTGGGGTCAGGAACTGAGGGAGGGTAAGGACCCAAGGTCAGCAATCAGTTCTGGGTGGGGATCCAGGCGGGCCAGGCGGCTCTGCTCCAGGGCGATGGCCTCTGCTGAGTGCTTGCATTTTTCAGAGCCACACTGACAGGTGAAATACTTGCTCTTAATGTCCCAGAACCGGTCGCCATAGTCAAACCTGCCAGGAAGATCAGGGGAACTTGGGATCCAGACCTCAAAAAGTCTTCCCAGGTTTTTCATCTGCCCACCTACCCACCCCAGAAGCTTTCATCCTCTTTGGCCACTTTTTAAGGACTCAAGCTCTGGTCAACTAGGCCCAAGCCTCATGTTAAAACCCAACCCAAGATTGGAGACAACAGCAAATACAAACCTTTAGGGGGCAAGGAGTGGGGTCTGTGTGCTCTTTGCCAGAGTCACCTGGGGGATTCTGCGAGAATGCCAGAGTACCTGAGGACCCCTCCAAAGGCTAGCAGAGAGGACATTAGGGTCATAGGATCATAAAATTTAGAGTTCAAAAGGACCTTAGAGATAATTTAGTCCAGGGGTCCTTAAATTGTTTTGTGTCGTGGGCCACTTTGACAGTCTATAGAAGCCTATTACTATGGGTTTGTTGCCTACATTCATAATTGAAAGAGATGTTCAGTACAGGTTAAGTGAAAATAAAGATGTCGTTTTTTCCCCTATCCAAATCCATCTATCCACAGACTCCACAGGTTAAAACCCATGATCTGGCCCCAATTCCTCATTTTAGAGCTGGGATGTGACAACTTTCCCAAAGTCATACAGGTAGAGAGGTGGCAGAGCTTATTGTGGGATTTGGATGCTACCTCTGGAACCCAGGTCTCCTGGGCCCCGTGCTTCCCCTCCCTCGACTCTCTAGGGACTACACCTGGATGCCTCATTAAAGATCCAGCAGCCTACCCTTCCAGCCACCACAGGGAACCCTTACATCCCCCTCACCCTAGCTCCTCGCCCGTCCGGATGTCTCGAGAACTGAAGAAGGCAATTCGGGGGAACCTGAGGTCTTGGTGCAGCATGAAGACTCGAACAGGGATGATGTTAGGGTCACACAAATGATTGATAAAACGACTGATGTTGCCATAGTATCGGGCATCGATGCAGTACACCTCTCCATCCTGGAGAGAATGTGGATTGGTTACCTCCCCCATCTCACACCTTGCGACTGGGCCGAAGTCTCAACATAGTTATTGATGCTGTATCACTTCTTGCTGACCCAACTCAAGATTTAAGGGAGGCGCCGGAGAGGAAACAGGGTAAGGCCTCCCCCCTCATCCCAATCTACTCACTTTATTGTCCAGGTCAAAGAGGTAAGAATCATCTTCTCGAACATCTGCCTCGGCATCTGAGATCAGTTCCCCAACATACCTAATCCAGTAGAGGGAAGAGAGGAGTTCTGAGACCTATGATTTCATGGGAGTAGGGAACCTTTTCAGCATCTCCTCTGTACCTTATGGTCTTAACAGAGCTGCCTGGGGACACTGAGAGGTACAGTTGGGGGCTCAAAGATGAGATCTGAATCCTGGTCTTTAGCTCTCATTAAATAACACTAATGGGCTTTTACTCATCCTTTATTTTAAATTTCATTTTCTCAGTTTGTACCCTCCCTTCCACCGGGGAAAAAAATAAAAGCAAGATCCTTGTAACAAATAGTTATAGTCAAACAAAACAAATTCTTGAAGTGGCCATATCCAAAACTGCCTATCTCATTCTGCATCTTGAGTCTATCACCTGTCAGCATTTACCTATCCTTCCAATTTAGATGCTACCCCCCTCTATGAAGCCTTCCTTGATCTCAGTAACCCTACAAGGCACTTCTAATGTACTTCTATAATACTGTGAATTAGAATTCTGTGTTTATGCCCTACCTCCTTATCAGACTTCAGAATTCATAAAGGATGGGACTATAGGTGTGTAATAGATGTTAAATGAATTTATTGTTTAATTGAGTAGAATAAGAACAAGGAAGTAATGGGGAAGGGGAAGCTTAACGGCATAGAGGGCGAGTATAGACTATAGTAGTCTTGAATGCCAAGTTAAGTGAGGGGTTTCTGAATACTTTTGAGCAAGACAGTGATATGATAGACATGTTAATAGTGATGCTTTGGGAAGACAGTGTTGGTTGAATGGATTAATGGAATTAATCTAGTAGTATGTTTAGAATAGATTTTTAAGTGGGGGAGAGACTAGAAGAAGAGAAATCAGCTAGGAAATCGTGGTAAATATTCTGTGACTGAGCTACATTTAGAAGCTGGACATGGCAGGTGGCAGTGGGGGTAGAAAAGAAAAAAACAGATATAAGCAATCGAAGGACAACTTGCAGGACTTGGAGACTGACTACTAGACGTGATGGGCAAAAAAGAAGGCAGGACTACAAGGTGACAGGTTTGGGGTTGAGGCAACTAGGTGGTCACTTTTAGAGAGAAGATGATGAGGAGTTTGGTATATTGATGAATATGAAGGCTACTGGAACATTAATGTGGAAACTTCTAGCAGAAAGCTGAAGATGTAGGACTAAAGGTCAGGAGAGGGTCAGGATTAAAAATGTAGATTTGGGAGATGACAGTAGAGGCCATGAGAGCATGAGAGTAGATGAGGTCTTAAGGTCCGAAGGGGAGAAGAAAGGGGAAGAAAGGAGAAGTAAGTGTGTGTGCAGAGGGGGGAAGGGTAAGACAAAAAAAGGCCAACAGCTAAGCTCTGAGGAAAGAACTACATTTCAGGGGTAGGATGAGGAAGAAGAGTCAGGGAATGAAAGAGAAAAAAGGAATGATAAGGAATGGCATCAGAAGGACCAGGAGAAGATGATGTCATGAAGGCCAAAGGAGGAGAGTATTCAGTAAGAGTGAGTGGTCAACAGCATCAAGTATTGGGAAGATGATCAAAATTAAGGGGAATGGGGACAACTAGGTGGTGCAGTGGATCGAGCACTGGCCTTGGAATCAGGAGGACCTGAGTTCAAATCCAGCCTCTGACACTTACTAGCTACATGACTCTGGGCAAGTCACTTAACCCTGACTGCCTTTAAAAAAAAGATTAAGAGGGATGAAGACTTTTTAAAGGGCCAGTGGATATGGTGGATAAGATTACTGGTGACCTCTGTGAGAATGGTTTTGGTTTTCTGGTAGGGGTAAAAGCCAGGCTGCAAGGGGTTAAGGAGAGTTGGGCATGATAAAGTGGAAGCACTGGCCATTAAGATGACTCTCTAGAGAAACTAGAACGTTAAATGGGGAGATTAAAGGGGTAAAACCAGGATAGTAGAGTAGCAGGAAGTAAGGCAGCTGAGCTCCTGTCTACAACTCCTCCAAACAGATCTATAAAATTCACCAGCCTGAATCCTGATGGAGAAATCCAGAAAAAGTCACAGTGCATCATTTATCTGGACCAGGTCAGCACAGGGAGACAGAGAGATCTGTAGACACTAGGAACAGGGTCAGAGCAGGGGCAACTGTCACAAACGGAAGACTCCAATGCCCAGGGACAGGCTGCACACCACCACAAAAGGAGATCACACACCCATGTTGGGGCACTGTCACAAGGACAGGTGCCAACCAACAGCTTTGTTGGACCAGCCCAGACCTTCCTTCCAAAAGTGCGAGAGAGCCTTGCCCTAATATTTAGTCCAAAGTCAGGAAGTGGGCTGGAAGAATGGAAAAAAAAAACCCCCACCATAAAGAGCTATTATGGTGGAAGAAACGAAGCAAGAGTTTAAAAAGAGTTAAAAATATTTTTATAAAAATGGAATGAAAATCTTGAGGAAAAAATTAGAAAAAGAAATGAAAAAGCTATGGAAAAAAGAACTGGAAAGGGAATTAACACCTTGCCACAAGAAGTACAAAACCTCCCCCAACAGACCAAACAGAAGCCAATAACTTCATGAGGCAACGAGAAATATTAAAACAAAGTCAAAAGACTGGAAAAAAAAAGGGAGGGGGGAAGAAAATGCAAAGTATCTCATAGCAAAAACAACTGATCTGGAAATAGATCAAGAAAAAAATTAAAGAATCACTAGACTGTCTAAACACTGTGACCAAAAAAAGGGCCCTAGACATTCTATTTCAAGAAATCTTAAAACTGCTTATTATTTCTTAGAATCAAAGAGCAAAATGGAAATAGAAAGAATCCAGCAGTCACTTCCAGAAAGAAAGGCCCAAATGAAAACTGCTAGGAACCTTCTGGGTCAAAGAAAAAATACTGGAAACAGAAAGAAAGGATTCAAAATACTGAGGAGACATAGCGTCAGAATCACACACGATTTGGCAGCCACCACTACAAGGCAGGAAACTTGGAATATAATATTGCAGAAGGTAGAAGATAGGGATTTTCAGCCAAAACTTACCTAGAAAACTGACTAAAATTCTACAGGGGGAAAAAATGAACTAGAAGATTTCCAAGCATCTCTGATAAAGAGAGGAGCTGAAGAGAAACTCATTAGTTCAAACATAAAAGTGAAGAGAAGCATAAAGAAACATAAACATGAATGAACAATGATAAAAAACTAAACAAAGATAAACTGCTTACATTTAGATATGGGGAGTTGGTAAGATTATCTCCCCTGAATCTTATCATCAGAGAGTACAATCAGATAAAGCCTGGGAGGGGTTCTTTTTATGTCTTGAAGATCTTAAGGAAAGCATAGGGAAAAAAGAATACACCCAGGAAGAAGGAAAAAGGTTAAGGATAATTATTTCACATAACCAAGGTGCAAAGATAGACATCTATATATAAAAGGGCATGGGCGGATGGGTAATGGCTTACACTTGAACCTTATAGTCATCAGAACTTATCCACAGAAGCAAGAATACACACATACAAAGTTGGGTACAAAAATCCATTTTGCTCAATAGGAAAACAAGAGGGGAGGGGTGGGGAAGGGACAGGAATGAGGGAGTGCCCACAAATGAGAAACAGGCTGAACATAGTACAGCGTAATAACCAATCAGGATTCCAGATGATTAATAAGGAAATGTGCTACTTACCTTCTGATACAGAGGTGAATGACTCAAAATGCAGAATGAGACTTAATATTTTTTTGGACATGGTCAATGTATATATTTATTTTGAGTGACTATACATGTTTGTAATGGATTTTATTTTTCTCATGTTCTCAATGGGGAGGAGAGTTGAGGTGAGAGGGTGAGAAGGTTGATTTTGGTGGATTAAAACAAATAAAATATTTGTTTTTTAAAAAGGGAAAAGACAGGGCAGTAGTTTGAAAGTGCCGTTCAAATATTTTTAAAAAGGAGGGGAGGGTAGAAGAATCAAACTAGAGACTGAAGTATGATAGAAATGCCAAGGTCCAGAAGGAATCGGGAAAGGGGAGGGGACCATGAAGTAAGGCAGGGTGTCACCGGGCAGGATCATGAGTTTAGGTGGACAGATTTATACTTGGAAAAAGAGGAAAGACAACTCTTCTTTTGAGATAGGTGAGGGTGGATGAAGAGACATGGGGTGGTAAGTTAGGAAGGTGAGACAGCTCAGAATAGGACGATTTTTATTTTCTTATTAAAGCACTTAGTGAAATTGTCTGTTCAGAGAAAGAGGGGACTGGACATTGAGAAGCTGTGTAATAACAGTAATGCAAAGTATACTAGGGAATTAAAAGTAGGTGAATAACAGGACTGGTAAGTAACAGCAAGGGAAGAGGTGAAACAGCACAAATTCATAGTGAGCAGGTGTGGACATATGTTTAGGGGAAGGGGCTCTTGTTTGGAATTTGAGGACCCAATTCAAATTTTACCCCTCCCTCCTTTAGTATTTTTGTGACTATGACCAAGTCACTTAATCTCTGAGCCTACTTCCTTATCTGTACAATGAGAGGGTTGGATTAGATGACCTCTAAAGCCACTTTCACCTCTATCTAAAGCTATGATCCAACCTCAATTTTTTTTTTTTGTCTAGGCCTGTGATTTCTCGGCTGTAAGGAATGCCTTTTGTGAAAATTTTTTCCACCAATGCAGGTCAGCAACTATTCCGTAATTTAGTCTTCTAAATGGTGCCTGAAGGCACTAAGAGGTTTAAATAATTTGTTCAGGGTCACAAAGTTAGTATGTCAAGGGGTATGACCTGAAGCCAGGCCATCTTGAGTCAAGTCTGGCCTTCTATCCACACATCAGATAGCCTCCCCTTTTCATTCCACCAAAAAGTCCCAGCCCTTGCCCTCCTCAAACCCTTCCATGCTCCTTGTGCGTGGGCCCCAGCACACTCACTCGCAGATGAAGGTACCCTGAGGTATGGTCTGCAACGCACGGACACCCCAACCCATCTTGGCAGTACGGTAGAGCTGTAGCCGAACCCTGGAGGGTGGGGAGAAGGGAGAAGGCATAGAGTATTGTGACAGGGGTCTAGATTTAGAGCTGGAAGGGACCTCAGGGGCTTATCTAGAGTACCTCTCTCAGCAACAGATGAGGAAAACCAAGGAGCCCAGAAAAGTAAAGTGTCTTGCTCAAGGTCACTCAGAAACAACTCCCAGTCAGAGGTGGGATTTGAACCCAGGTTCAAAATCCAGTACTCTTTCCATTGTATCTGTCAGAGGGACATCCCAAGGAGAAAAATATGGGAAGGTGTGTCATGGGGAGGGAAACGAGAGTCCTAGGACCAAAGGGTGCCCCACTACCCACACTTCACTCAAGAAAAGGGGCTAAAGAGGGGCAGCTAGGTGGCGCAGTGGATAGAGCACTGGCCCTGAAGTCAGGAGGACCTGAGTTCAAATCCAACCTCAGACCAAACACTTGACACTAACTGTGTGACCCTGGGTGAGTCACTTAACCCCAACTGCCTTAAAAAAAAAAAAGAAAAAGAAAAAAAAGAAAAGGGGCTAAAACTGCAGTAGGGAATTAAGGATGCCTGGGTCCCCAGGGTCTGGGAGAAGTGAGAGGCTGAAAGGCAGGTGTCCTCACTTGATACCACTCTGTACCACTCGATTCTTGCAGCTTCTCCAGCAGGCGCAGGCCTGGTTACATTCAAAGATCAGGGGGGGCTCAATCTTATTAAATTCCTGAAGCAGACGTCCGTCCTGGTTCCAGAGGTAAAGGGGAGAGGTGAGAAGAGACAGGCTAGTTGAGGGAGGAGGGGGAGGAGGGCATGTTTGTATAAGAAGCAGGACAAATACAGGGCCATTTGAAGGTTATTTGCATATACCAACAAAAATGGCATAGTCACTTTCTTGGCAGTTTCCCAGTTGCCCTTGGTTTGGGATCAGGGGGAGGGGAGAGAGAAGCCCCATGAAGGGAAGGCTTCCTCCTCTCTGAGCCCCAGTCTATCCTGGATAGCTCCTCCTCCCTAGGAAGGGACAGAAAATAAACATGGGCAGTTGGGGGAAGGATTCCTGCCAGTGACACGAGGGCTCTTTAGAGCTTACTCACCTTGTCGTACCAGCACCGTATACTGAGTTGGCCACAGAGACAGTTGGAGCTCGAGCAGTCATCCACGCAGGTGCAGTGCTGGGGGTGAGGACACTGGGGTCATAATCCTCTAAGCCCAGGACTCAGGTGTCCTGCCCTCCAGCCTCTAGAACGCTCCCCCTCCACGGCCCAGAGCCCTCATTCTGTCAGAGATCATCAGGCTTTTGTCTACATGGCATGGGAACAACACTGGGTAGAGCTGTCAGGAGTTGGCAATGGGACTGGGCTAAGAGGGTACGCTCTGACGTTATTGGAGGTGAATGAGGAAATTGGCTAAGGATCTCTAAAGTGTTAGAATTAGGATATCAAGAAGTCTGGGGGATCTTTCCCACCCCACTTACCTGCAGGTGTGTGATGTTTCGGTCAATATTCATAGTTGAAGTTTCACAGTTCTCAGAAATGTATTTGTAATCTTCTGGGCATGGCTCCCCATCCACCCCATTGACACAGGGGATTGGCACGTTCTCGTAACCTCGAGCTACATCTCTAGGGGGAAGAGAAGCAGTATGGCTGAGGGGATGAGACCCCCACCCCAGACCCTTGGGGGGCAACAATTAATGGACAGGCGACTCTGGGAACCCCCACCTGCAAATGATCTTTTCTGTCCGCAGTACTCGGTTACCCACACCAAGGCGAAGCTTTCGGTTGAGCTGCAGGGCTACCCAGACATCTGAGCGCTCAGGGGTCAGGTCCCATGCCGTATCTCCTTCTTTGTTCCGTAACTCTGGGTCTGCACCCCGGGACAGGAAAAGCCTGAAGGGATAGAACAAGGAAAGCAGTAAGGAATATGTGGCAGAAGAGGCAAAGACAGAAGCAGGGGAAAGACACCAATCCAAAGACACAGGAGAGGGATGGACAGAAGGTAAGAGAGGAGGAAGAATGGGGAAGCCAGGGCACAGGCTCTGGGGTGTGGGAGATGCTCACAGCACACAGTCGTGGTAGCTCTCTCTAGCAGCGATATGCAAGGGTGTATCGCCATGATAGTTGACTGCATGGAGGTCACAGCGGGCATTCAGTAGGACCTCAGCAATAGCAGCACTGCCTGTGAAGGATGCCCAGTGCAAACAGATGTTCTCTTCCTGAGGGCAAGGGAAAGATACAGGAGTTGGTTCAGGACCCCAAGTCTCAGTTAAAGTGAAAAAAGAGAAACAAACAATGACCAATCACACGCTGGGCACTGAAGATGTTCAAAGATTAAGTAAGACTTAGTTCCTGCCATCATAGGGCTTATGGTATAGTATAGGGTTATGACATGAATAAGGGTAAAACCAATACCCAATAGCATATCCTAAGTCAGAGAAGTACAAAATGAAGCAATGTGAAATATCCAAGGATTCCAAGGTATCACCCTACTTTCCCTCCACCCTTGGGTACCCACATGTTTTCTCTTACATTGTCAGTGAGGGTAACATCTGCTCCTCGGGTCAACAGCATTCGAATAACTTCAATATGTTTATGTTCAGCTGCCCAAATGATGGGTGTCCAGCCCCCATTATCCTGGAAGGAGTAAAAAGAGGCAGGTGAGTGTTGGGGCCCAGTCAGGTCTCCTATAGCTGTATCTGGTTAAAAAGGGAGGCATGGGTTTCCCCTTCTCTCAGAGTCTCCCCTTCTGAGAGAGAGAGAGAGAAAGAGAGAGAGAGACACACACACACACACACACACACACACACACACACACACACACTGAAGGAGAGACATAGAAAAACACAAACAAGGAAGGAGAGATATCAAGAAAAGAGCAAGAGAGATACATGGGAGATAGAGGCTGGGAGGGGAGCAATCTGGAGGGAGAATGAGACAGTATGGGAGAGACTAGTGATGGGACACCAACAAAGACAGAGAACAACCCAGGGAGGGAGGGAGAGATACACGCGATGGAGGTGGGGCTCAGGCAGTAAGTGGCACCAGAGAACAGACAGTGACAGGCAGAGACAGAGAATAAGTCACCACCACTGTGCAGGGAAAAAGAGTCAGAGACAAAGAAGAAGAGATATGGGAGAATGAATGAAAAAAGAGCATACACAAAAAGGTGAGGGGGGAGAGGCAGAGGCTGGAGACACAGAAACACTTTGAACAACTAAACGACAAAGTAGGGAAACAGAGGCGAGCGGGAGAACCGCTGGTCACTGACCTGAGCATTTACATCCACTTGGCCAGTGCTGAGCAGCAGGCTGACCATCTCCAGGTTGCCAATCTTAGCTGCGTGGTGAAGACAAGTAGAACCATCTTCCTCCTGGGAAGACAGGTGCACACAGACCTTTAATACCCCAAGCAGGGGTACTCAAACTTCTTTTTGAGGGGTGGGTAGAGCACGGACAAGGCAGGGAGACACAGTTCCCCTCTGGCAGCCCAGTGAAACCTATGGACTCCTCAGAATGCGGTTTTTAAATATTTGAAGGAGGGGCAGGTAGGTGGCACAGTAGCCTTGGAGTCAGGAGGACCTGAGTTCAAATTCAGCCTCAGACAATTGATGCTTACAAAAAATATTTGAAGGAAATGTTAAATTTCAGTTAGGGGCTACTAAAAATAAAAATGCAATTTTTTTTCTCATTCAAGTTTACAGAGCCCTTGCCCCCAAGGAACACAACAGCTACCTCCTGTTCTTTGTCTTTCACCTTATCTATAACCCCTTGCCACATCTCCCACTATGCCACTCAGACTAGTTCAACTGTGCCAGCCAGCCAAGGCCCCCACCTTGCTATAGACACAGCCTCCTCGCTGCACCATGTATCGAGCGGCCTCCACGTGATTGTTGGCCACAGCCTCCATCAGAGGGGTCCGCTGCAGCTTATCCACAGCATTGATATTTGCTCCAGCCTGGCAGGTGGGAAAAAGGGTTAGTCAGTCAGTCAACAAGCCTCTATTGAGCAATAATTATACGCCAGGCACTCTGAGGATACAAAGAAAGACAAAAAAAGGGTCCCTTCCCGAAGAAGCTTCTATTTTAATGGGGGAAGACGACATGCAAATAATTTGGCACATACTAGCTACGTACAGGGTAGGTGAAAGGTAATCTCAGAGGGAAGGAATTAGCATCTAGAGGGACCAGGAAGGGCGTCCTGTAGAAGGTGGGATCTGAGCTGAGTCTTAAAGGAAGCCAGGGAAGCTAAGAGGTGGAGATGAGGGGGCAGAGTACTCTGTACCTAGGCAACAGTCAGTGCAAAGCCATGGAATAAGGAGCTGGAGTGTGTAAAGAACAGCACGTAAGACAGTACAGCTAGATCATACAGTGGGTGGGACGGAGTACAGTGTAAGAAGAGGAAGACAGAAAGAAAAGGACCAGATTGGGGAATGGCTTTAAATGCGAAAGAGAGGACCTTAGAGCTGATCCTGGAGCTACTGGGGTGACATGGTCAGAGCTGTGGCTCAGGAAGATCACTTTGGAGGCTGAATGGAGGATGGATCGTAGTGAGGAGAGACTTGAGGCAGAAAGACCAAGAAGAAGGCTATTGCAATAGTCCAGGTGAGAGGTAGTGAGGGCCTGAACTAGGATGGTGGCTGTGTGAGTGGTGAGAAGGGGATGTACATAAAAGGTACTGTTAAGGTAGAAATGACAGTGTGGGGGCTGTGTGTGTGTGTGTGTGTGTGTGTGTGTGTGTGTGTGTGTGTGTGTATGTATGTGTGCAGGGGTATTCCAGGAGAGTGGAGACCGGAACAGGGCAGAGGGGACGAAGGGAGACGGGCCAGGGAAATGGAGGCCGAGGGCTGGAAGAGATGGTCAAATAAGGGCGAGAGGCCTCCCTCAGTGACTAGAATGAAGGGGAGAGAGTGGGAGGAGAGGCCTAAATTCTGTGGTCAAGGAAAGGGGACCGTCAGACACTGAAGGCCTGGTCTGCTCTTACCTGCAGTAGCACATGGCAGATCTCAACAGAGCCCTTTTGTGCGGCTGCATGCAGGGGTGTGCGCTCGCTCTGCTGGTCACTTTGGAAGTTGGGGTCCAGGTTGTCCACTAGGGGGGGTGGGAGGGAAGAGCGTCATTCACAGAGAGACTGAGGGAGAAAGACAGATGGACAGAGAGAGAACCCTGGGCTGGAGTGGACACTCACAGAGCATCAGGACGACCTTCTGCAGTTCCCCCTGCTTCACAGACAGGTACAACTGACGGGGATGAAAGCGAAGCTTCTTCCTTCTGCCCAGGGGAGAGGGAGGGGGAAGGGGATGGAACAGGGAGACTTGAGGGCTTAACACCCTGAGTCCCTCATCAGACGCCTCTTCCTTCAGACACCATGCTTTTACTCATCCTTAAGTATGAGTCTACTGAAAAAAGATCCCTCTCCCTTCAGAGACCCAGCTCTGTGCATCCTCCAGTCATTAGTTTCTCTCACCGCTCAGACTCCTGGATGACTAGTGCCTTTTCCAGGGTTTCTCGGCCTGGGCCAGCCCCTAGACCTACAGCTGAGAGGATATTGCCATTGGGCAATGCCAGGGAAGGGCCTGAGCTGTCGATGGTATCCGCCAGTGGGTCGCAGAGGGGGCGTCTTGGTTCTCCATGACCTCGCATCCTGGCACTGGGGAAACAGGAGAGGTGTGGGGAGAGGGGCTCTTGTGTCCCAGGGAGAGAAGAAAGACTAGGGAAAGGGAAAAGACTCTCATATCCCAGGGAAAGGATGAGAAGGAAGGAAGAAGGAAGGAGAGAAGGAAAGGCAGGAAGAAAGAAAAAGACAAGGAGGGAAGGAAAGAAGGAAAGTGAAAAGGAGAGGGGAAGAAGAGGTACAGCAGAAAAGACAGGAAGGGGGAGAGAAGAGAAGGAAAGAGAGCATGGAAAGGTAAAGGAAGGTATGAAAGGACAAGTGGAGAGAATGGGGAGAGAAGAGTAAGAGAATGTGAAATAAAGAGGTGAGGGTTTAAGAGGTAAGCAGAAATGGAAATGAGAGATAATAGGTGAAGAAAGGCCTACAAAGGGAGAGGGCTCTTTTTTTTGGAGGGGAGGGGTACCTGGGCTGGGAAGTGTCGGCCCGTCCAGGGGCATCCTGGGCAGGGGGGGGGGGGACAGGAGCAGCAGTGCCAGGAGGTGGGGCCACCCCATCACTCCGGGCAATTGTCACCTCCTGGGCCTCAGAAGCGTCCTCCCCACAGTGGGGGCAGAAAACCATCCCATTCAGCTGGGACACGCAGGCTTTGTGGAATCGATGGGCCACTCGGAAATCAGGGTGACACTCCAAGAATGTGCCCTTGTTGGGGGGGGGGGATTGGGGGCAACGGTATTAGGACCCAAATAAATGACCCAGCTTCATGGTTCCCTCCAACTCCTCCCTCCCCATGGAGGTCTGGTTGTCTGCCCAGCAACCTCCCTCCCCTACCCTGTCCTGGGGATTTGCATAGCCCTACCAATATCCCTCCTCACCGCTGTGCAAAAATAGCCACAGCCTGGGCAGCAGTGATGCTTGACCATCCGGGCTCGATGTGTCTCGCAGAGGACCATCAGAGCTACCCTGCTTGAAGGCCTCATTGTTTCCCGCTTTTGGATTCCTGCACTGCAGCCCGACAGCTGGAGAACAGGGTGTTAGCAGAGGAGTGGCAGAAGAAAAAAGGAAGACAAGGAACAGTAAGGCAGAGAAGTAGAAAAGACAAGCTAAGGACCCCATTATCTCCCTGTTATTCTTCCCCAGTTTTCCTCCAGCCCACTCACACTCCCTACCCTTCCATCCACTGGACATCCACCAGACCTCACAGTTAGAAGGGACTTCAAAGGTCCAACTCATACTAGCTATCTGATGTCATTCCCTCCCACCCCATTCTCCTTCTGTCTTCTCTGTGAGTCCAGACCCACCTCTCCATCCACGCTCTCTGTGGCCATGCACTTGTGACCAGCCCTCTCGCTGATCCGGTCAATCTTTGGAGCCTCCATGCGGCAGCTGCACAGGGGTAACTCCTCAAACCCCCGCTCTGTCTCCAGGGATGATGTGTCATTTGACACCCCTTGGGGCAAGGGGATGCAGAAAGAGAAGTGTCACAGGGAGACCCAGATGCTACTTCTGCCCCCTAACTCCCTTCATCTTAACTGCCTGGTTTTTTCATCCAGTTAGGATCAGTGACTATACCCTTCCCTTTCTCTGCCCAAGGAAACTAATCTACCCAATAGATCAAAATTGCTCTTAACCCCATCCCTTCTAATAACAGGAACTCCCTTCTTCTGCCACCATTGGTTATGCTGTGATTGCTAGTCTCGAGTTATTACTCTTATCCTTAACTTATCTCACCCAAGGCTCCCTGAATCAGCTCCCCCATTTTCCCAATTACCAGCATGGTTGGGAGAAAGGTTTCCCTCGCTGGGTAGCTCCAGAGACCCCAGAGGCACCTCTATATACTCACTGGGGCCAGAGGGACCAACACCATTCACCCCTGATATAGACGAAGAGAAAGAGATAACAAGTTGGGGGAAACCAAGGCAGGGATATATATGTGAGGAGAACAAGGATTTGGACACCTGTTGCCCAAGGGGGACAGGAACTTAATCTGAATTATTACCCCGCTGCTCCTTGGCACGTGGCGTTTCCCGCTTTCGACGTTTTCTGGTGGGCTTCACCCAAGGACTGTCCTTCCGCCATTTTTTCTTGGTTTTTCGTCGACCACTAGAACCACTCTGATGAGGGGGAGGGGGAAGAATCGGAACCTGGGTATGCAAGTTTATCTTCTCTGTTCCTAAGCCTAGACTTCCTTTACAGACCCTGATATCTGACCCTTACCCTATCAGACTGATTGCCAGACTCCTCCTCTTCCTCCTCCTCCTCCTCTTCTTCCTCCTCCTCCTCCTCCTCTTCTTCTTCACTCAACTGCTCAGCCAAGACCTCTGCCTCAGACTAGAAAGGGAGAAGAGGATGGGGCTGTGGGAGGGTGACCCTCAGATCAAAGGTCTTGTCCTTGAGGTGATCTGGTGGGGAGTCTGATGGGGAGGCAGTCCCCTCCCTTGGGGAGCTCTCAGCTGGACAACTCAATACAGAAACAGGACAACTGGGACATCAGGGCTCAGGGAAATGCATGTGTGCACAGGTAGTTTTGTTCAGTAGGTAAGTATGAAATGATGGTTGGAGAAACAAAAGAGACAAAGTCAGCAGAGAAAAGATTAGGCACAATACACAGATTCTCTAAAGCCTCTAAGGCTAGAGAGGCATCATAAAAGATGGCAAGAAGCTGGTGGTAGGGAGGTCACCTCACCCCAGACCCAGCTGCTCCTTACCTTACTGTCTGAGTCAATTCGCTCATCCACAGAATATGAGTCATAGTACAAACTGAAGCCTTCTCCTACATCTGTATCCCAGTCCTCCATGGCCTCCTGGTTTTCCTTCTCCAGGGCCATGTCCTCAGACCCCCCAGCAGGCCCCAGCTCTTCCAACTGGGAAATAAAGAGTTCCCCTTCCATGAAGATTTCCTGATCCCATCAGCTAAAAGTGTTCTCTCCCTCCTTCCATGTTCCTAGAATGATACTTTGTCAAGATAGCTCCTTTGCCTCTATCAACTTCTATCTTATGATATATTTGTGAGTGTATATCAACCAACCAACCAACAAGCATTTTCTAAGTGCTTACTAAGTTCTAGGCACAGTGCTAGATACTGAGAATATAAAGAATGAAACAATCCCTACTCTAAAGGAATTTATATTCTACCTGGAGGACATATGTGTGTACACACACATACACACACAAACAATACAAGGCAGCCAGAAGGAGGGAACTAGCATTTGGGGAAATAAGAAAAGGGGAAGGTGGTGATTGAGCTGTATCTTGAAGTTCTGTAAGGTGGAGTGGAGGAAACTGAACAAAGCAAAGTGAGGAAATTGGAGATGGGGTGTCAAGTGTGAGAAAAGGCCAGTTTGGCTGTATCACAGAGCTTGGAAAGGGAACCTTATTGGACATTACTGAAGGCAGGTTAGGACCAGGTTATGAACAACTTCACAAACTAGAAGAAGCGTATTTTATCCTAGGGGCAATAGGGAGCCACAGGAGTTTACTGAGTAGGGGAGTGACATCATTCATACTCCTAACACTCTCTCCTCCTTCACCCATTTCACTGGATGAAGTGGCCTTACCAAGGTTAACCCTTCTACTTGTTCAAGTGATCCCATTCCATCCTGTCTCTTAGAACAGACTGCCTCCTCTGTCATTCCCTACTCTTTCACTTCAATCTGTCACTGGCTACTGGCTTCTTCTCTATTAACCACAAACATGCCCATGTCTCCTCTATCCTGAAAAAAACCTTCACTTGATCTTTCTATTCCCATTATCATCCTGTATCTCTTCTGCCCTGTGTGGCTAAATTCCTTGAAAAGGTCATCTATAATAGGTTCCTCCTCTTTCTTTCCCCTTATTGTCTTCTTAATCTCTCAAAATCCAGCATCTGACCTTATCATTCCACAGAAACTGACGTTACTAATGATCTCTCTCAGCTGCCAATCCAATGGCTTTTTCTCCATCCTCATTCTCCTTGCCTCTCTGCAGCCATTGACAACGTTGATCACTCTGTCCTCCTTGATACTCTCTTCAAGTTTTTAGGATATCACTTTCTCCTGGTCCTCATCCTACCTATCTGGATCCACTTCTGTATCATACTCTCAGGTGTCCCTCAAGGTTCTGTCCCGGGCCCTCTTTCTTTCTATATACTACTTTACTTGGTTAACCTTTACCTCGTTACCTAATTAACTCCCATGATTTAATTACCATTTCTATGAGGATGTCATCCTCAAATCTACCTGTCTTGCCCTAATCTCCCTGCTGACCTCCAATCTCACATCTCCAACTGTCTTTCACACATTCTGAACTGGGAAGTAGACATCTTAAAATCAATATGTCCAAAATGGAACTCATTACATTTCCCCCAAACCACATCTCTCCTCTCTCCCCTTTCCTATTACTGTAGAAGGCAACACCATCCTCTGAGTCCCTCAGGTTCAAAACCTGGGAGTCATCCTGGATTGCTCACCATCTCTCACATCCAATCTGTTGCCAAGTCTGTCAATTTCACCTTTGCAACATACCCCTTCTCTGACACTGTTACTATGATAACACAGGACCTCATCACCTCATGCCTAGACACTTACAACAGCCTGCTGGCCAGTCTGCCTGCCTCAAGTCTCTCCCCACTCCAATACATCCTCTATTTAACCACAAAAGTGATTCCTAAAGTGTAGGTCTGATCATGTCATCCTCCTACTCAATAAACTCCAGTGGCTTCTTATTGGCTCCAGGTTCAAATATAAAATGCTCTGTTTGACATTCAAATTTTTTTTTTTAAGGCAATCGGGGTTAAGTGACTTGCCCAGGATCATACTGTTAGGAAGTGTCAAGTGTCTGAGACTAGATTTGAACTCAGGTCCTCCTGACTCCAGGGCTGGTGCTCTATCCACTGAGCCACCTAGCTGCCCCTCTGTTTGATATTCAAAGCCCTTTCTAACCTAAGGTATAAGTCTTATACTCTACTCTGAAACTCATAGTCTTTGATCCAGTGACACTGGCCTCTTGGCTGTTCTACAAACAAAACACTCCATCTCTGGGCTCTGGGCATTTTGTCTGGCTGTCCCCCAGGCCAAGAATGCTTTTCCTCCTTGGCTCTAACGACCTCCTTTGGTTTCCTTTAAGTCCCAACCAAAATTCCAAGCCTTACCCAACCCTCTTAATTCAGTGCCCTCCCCGTTAATGATTTCCTATTTATTCTGTATATAACTTGCTTTGTATATATTTGTGTGCATGTTGTCTCCCTCATTAGATTGTAAGCTCCTTGAGGGCAAGGACTATCTTTTGCCTCTTTTTGTATCCCCAGCATTTAACACAGGGCCTGATACATAGTAGGAGCTTAATAAATGTTGATTGATTGATAGGCATGGTTAGATCTCCTAAACACTAAGTTTCCCAATAGCAGAAACTATCTTTCTTCTTTGCATCAACCCGTGTACCTTGCCCTTAGAAGGCATCTTAGTGTGTTGAATATTAGAGACCTGTCCCACCTAAGAGTCAGCATCTTTTCCCTCCCCAGCCTTACTCTAGCTGAGCTGTCCTGTCAGCAAATCCCTTCTCTATGGAACTAAAATATTCTATTTCCACACCTCTCTCCTTTTCTTTCCATTCCTTTTCAGTACTTGTTTTCCTCTCAAAGAGGCTGTCATTCTGTTCTTAGCTCCCTTACTGCCCCTTGGTCCTGTCCCTGAATCAGCCTTACCAAGCCATGGGGTCCTCTCTTGTGGGGGCCTCCACTTCCCAAGTCCAGCTTCCTCCTTTTGGCAATGTCTGGAATTAATAAGGTCAAGTAAGGTTTTTCTCCTCAAACCTCAAGAAGATTTTTGATGCCCCAAACTAAAGTTAACTGTTGTCCCAATGGCGTGGGTGAGAAAGAAGTTAGAATCTATGGTTGAAGGATATACCTGTTCCCATATCCCCCATTGAGTGAAGATCATCACTCATTCGAAAATGCTGAACTTCAGGGGGGCGTTTCTCAGGGACTGGAGGCTGGGGAATACACAGATGGAAAGATAAGACTCCCTTTCCCCTCCCAGCTCCCTCTCCTTATTCCAAGATATACTTCTTCCCTTCCCTGCATATGCCCTTTACCTGTCCATTCCCTGGTTTGGACATAGTTTTTCGAGCTCGGTGGACCTTGGGCTTCCCTTCAGGGCTGGTAGGGGTTGGGGTAGGGGTGGGGGTAGGGGCAGGCTCAGGCCCAGCTCCAGCCCCTTGTGCCCCAGGCATGCTCAACAGCCGCATGGCTAAACTCTGGACTGAGGGAGGTGATTTCCCGGCCCCTGTCATGGTAATCTTCGCCCGGCTTGGGCAGGCGCTGCCCCCTTTGCTGGGGGATGAGGGAAAGGACTTAGTGGCATGGCCTGGACAAGATGGTGGGGAGAGAGAGGAGGGAAAACGATATGACCTGAGAGCTCAGTTCTCCCTGCTCCTTGAATTCCCCAGTCTCAAGCCCTCCCAACCTCCTTACCTAACAACATCCTACCACTGTGGATGCCCTCATCTCCCTCTGGACTCTCTGGCTCATCACCAATGAGGGGTGTGGACCCCACTGGGGTGTCAGCACCCTCATCCCCTACAGTCACTGTGACTGAGGCAGGAGATGAGGGGCCAGTGGGTTCCACAGACTCTGGATGGTCCTGGGGTGGGGTCTCCTCTCCAGGAGACTTATCTCCTGAGGAGCTAAGACCTAAGAAGATAAAAGAAAGGTTTGGGAATGAGGAGGGGTATCACGAATACCAAGATCCCTATGACTGAGACAGAGACAGACAGACAGACAAACTGACAGACACACATGGCTGGGGAACAGGATTCCTTCCAGGAAGGAAAGAGGAAAGGAATCTAGGGGCAAAGGTAGCTTATCATTCTGCCAGATTATTGGAAAGGGTCACTTACAAATAGGAAAAAGAAGGGGGTATTGGGAACAAGGCTACTTTCTCAATAGGGAAGAAGAGGGGGCTAGGGGACAGACATCCTGTATACACTGCATGCTTACCTCTCTCTGCAGTTCCCCGAGGTTCTTTCTCCAGCAGCAGCGCCCCCCCCATCTCACCAGGGGCCTCCCCCTGCGAGGGGAGACAAGGGGTAGGGGGACTGGTCAACCCGGCTGGGGGCAGAGGAACCCAGGACGCCTGGGTCCGGGCGGAAGAGAGCAGGCTTCGCCCCCTCCCCCGGCCCCGATGGGTTGCCCCTCGCCCTCTGCCTCGGCTCCCAGGAAGTGGCCCTCGCCCTCTCCCCCGGGCCCGAAGGGACCCCCTCCCCCTCGGTAGCCCCCGCATCCCGGGAGCAGAAAGGAGGGGAGGGGGCGTGGCCAATGCGCCCCGGCCCCGCCCCCTCCTCCCGGGTGCACGAGACGCTCCCCCTTTGTCCCCGGAGCCGCGGGGGCCCCGCACGACGCCCCCCCCAGCACCCACTCCCCCCCCAGCTTGGCGGCCTGCCCCGCGCACCCCGTGCGCGTGCCCCTGGGACCCCGGCTCCATCCGCCCATTTGGGGGTAGCCAGCGGCTGCACGCGCACCTCCGTGCCCGCTTCCCCCGCCTCCCATCCCCTGGTCCCCTCCCCGGCCCCCGACGCTGGCCCCCCGGCTTGTTGCAAGCCCGGCTCGGGCCCCCCGGCCCCGTTGCACCCCCGGAGCATTGCACGAGTGCGCGCTTCCCCCGGGCGCGCGCGCGGGCGGGCATGCACCCGCCTCCCCCCCCTCCCCTTCCGCACCTCGGCGGCCGCCGCCGCTGCAGCTCCCGCCGCCGCCGCCATAGCCGCTCGCGCGGGGGGCCCAGGAGGCGCGCGGCCGCCCGGGTCACGTGGGCCGGGGGGGATGGGGGAGTTGTGGAAGGAGGGAGGAGGAAGAGAACCTTAAAGGAGCCGTGGCCTATTCCATTGCCATTTTCCCGGAATAGGAGCCCCGAGGGCTGCGGAGGATGCCCGGGAGGGGGCTGGCGGGCTCCTCGGAGGCCACTTCGATCTGGCCGCCCTGGCCTTCACCATGGGGGGGGCGAGCGCGGGCGCTCCGTTGGAGTGCCGGGACTGGGGGCGGGGGCCGCCGCCGTGGTGCGAGTCTATTGCCCAATAACCCCGGAGCCGCGGTTCCTCAGGTCTGGGCGTCCCGGGAAGGGGCAGGACCGTGCCTCTACCTCTGGTCTCGGTCCGGGCTGGAGCTGGAGAGAAGACTTTGCCCGTGGAGGTGGGGATGGGGGTACTCCGAGACGCTCCTCCCCTTTACCTAGGGCTTTTACTCCCGGCTCTTATTGTGAGTAACTAGGACTTAATTAAAGACCACTCCAGTCCCGCCCGGCCGGCCACGGGTCCCTCCAAGAACTTAATACAATCACAACTTCGTTAACGACATCACGACCAGAAGAAGCGCAGACGCCGCTTTCCCCTCACTGACCGACACCCCGCCTCAGCCGCCTCTACTACAGCCCTCGAACCCGGACGAGTCGGCAGCCCCGGCTCCCGGGGGTTGGAACTGGGCACCCGGGGCCGCCTCCGAGGCCTCCTGGGAGCTGTAGTTTGCACAGGCTGAGAGCGGCCTCTGAAGTTTTCCTCCAGTCCACAAACTCGGAGTAGTATTGGAGAGGGCTCCAGGGACCATCCAGTTTGGGGGTTCTTAACCTTTTTGGGGGCGTCATGGACACTCCCTCTTTAGCAGTCCGGTGAGGCTTAAGGATCCCTTCTCAGAATAACTTTTAAAATTCATAATTGAAGGAAATGTTTGTTTGAGCTTAGTGGGGAAAAAAATGTATTTTTACCCCATCCAAGCCTATCATCCCAGTTTGAGAACCCCTGATCTAGTCTAATTTCCTCACTCTGTAGAAGCAACAGGCTTGTATGTGACTTCTCACAACTAGCTAATGACAAGAGTTGGGACTGAAACACCATATATATAGAGTACTAAGAATTTAGCAAAGTACTGTTGAAAAAAGTTTACATGGTCTTTGCCCTCATGGTGAGGAGACCAGGAGGTGACTAAAAACACTGCATAGGTACAGAAAACTCAGAAGCAGAAGCTGGATGGCCAAGGTAGTCTTAGGGAAGAGGTGTTTGCTGAAGGTACCAGGATGCCCAGACTGGAAGGAAAGGAACAATTCAGACTCACAAACAACCAAACATAAAGAAAAAAAACTTTTTTTTATTTTGTGGAAAATAAAAACAGAAACTGAGACCTCAAATTCCAGAAAACTCCTGAAAAATATGTTTCCTTAAAAAATACGGTTATGTCTCTACCACACCCTTTCCCTCCCCCGCTGCTTCCCTCCCCTGCCTAAGAGCCCTTTTCTAGGTATTTTCCTCTTCTCCCCCTGTCCCCTCCCCAACCCTTACTACTTCTGACTTTCCACCTCCTTTTA